GAACTTTCACGTTAAACACAAAAATGAAATTTGATTTCCTTTCAGAACTCAATTTTGTCTAACTTAGTCTTGGGCCTCACAAATTGGGCTTTTCCCATAACACCCTTACTAACTCTTCATAATGCCCAATTTACCCTTATTTCCCTTATATTCATTTTAATAATAATAATACTAATATTCTCATATAGTATACTATTAATTAAATAAATAGTCCAACATGCACATCTTCTCAATAATTTCCAAAACCACTGAAAACACCAAAAATACGAATATTTTCAATTAAATAAATTAATTAAAATATTCCGATTAAATTTGGGGTGTTACAACTCTCCCCCACTTAAAAGAATTTTCGCCCTCGAAAATTGCCTCAAGGAACAGAGTCGGATACGACTCCCTCAACTGATCTCCAAGTTCCCAATTCGAACTTTCTCCAGCTGGTCCTCCCAAACTACCTTCACAAAAGGAATCTCTTTACCTCGAAGTTGCTTCTTGTTCATCCACCTGAACTAGCAACGCCTCGACAGTCAAATTACCTCTCACTTGTACACCATCCATCCAAATCAATGTACTTCTTCAACTTAGGCACATGCCATATCATGTAAATTCACAAGCGACAGCGGTAAAACAGTCTAACATGCTACCTCTCCCATGCTTCCGCTGTGTCACTTCCGATACAAATCAACAAAACACAGTGTGTGCTTCTGAGACTTCAAAGCTCGACCAACACCAGTCACCATCGTAACTCTCAAAACACGTCTTTTCTTAGATCTTCTTGATCTTTCAGTCGTCTCTTACACAATTCTCAGGTCCGAGCACAACACTCTCGCCTGAATCATATCAACACAAAGGAGTCCTACACCTTCTACCATACAATTACCCATACGGTGTCATTCCGATACTAGAATGCTAACTGTAATTGCAGGTAAACTCAACCATCGGCAAATAACTATCCCACGATCCACCTCGATCCAACACACAAGCTCTCAGCAAATCCTCTATAGACTGGATAGTTCTCTCTATCTGTCCATCCGCCTGCGGATGATAGGCAGAACTCAATCTCAACATGGTACCTAAAGTGTTGGCAAATTCTCCCAAAACCTCGATGAAGATCTCCGATCTTTATCCGACACAACACTCGACGGTATCTCATACAACCTCACAACTTCCTCAATATTCATCATAGTTAGCTTCAACATAGAATGATTACTCCTCATTAGTAAGAGATGAGATGAGCTAATCAATCCATCCATCATTCCCAAAGCGGATCATATTCATCTCACAGTCTTCGGCAACCCGACACAAAATCCATAGAAATACTATCCCCTTCCATTCAGAAATATTCACAGTTGCATCAGGTCCAACAGTCTCTGATGTTCAAACTTCGACTTTCCACAAGCCTAACCAGCATACACAACTTCAACCATTTCTCTCTCCATCTATGGCCACTAAACAATTTCCTCAAATTCGGTTACATCTTCATAGCACCGGGACGGATACTCAATCCACTTAAATGTCCTTCCTCAAGAATACTCTTATTCCAACTCAACAATATCTGAAACACAAAATCTATCACGACATCTCCTGATACCATTTTCATCAATCTGTAATTCGACCCTTCGACTTTAATTCATCAAATTCAACCAATTTACCAACTCAAACCAGATTCTTGACCTTCTCGAATCTCATCAAGAATACCACTAGTAGCTCCACCATACTAAGCTTAACTCCATAAAAAGTCTCTTCACAACCCAAGCTCATATCACGAAATTGTCCAATCAGTTCTAACTCTTTTACCATCAATATCAGTATATACAAAGATTTCCAAATCGATGCATCAACTACCACGTTTGCTTTACCCGAATGGTAATTCAATCCAAAACCATAATCCTTCAGAAGTCCCAATTATTTCCTCTTATGTACTTTAAGTTTCCTTAAAGCATAACTAAAACTCGCTGATGTTGCACTTAACATACCTCCCAATCTTATCAACAAAGCATCACAAAACACAACAAATAGTCCGGTCATATTCGGCAAAAATCAACACACAAGCTGTTGACAGCTCTCCCAAAAACTCTTTGAAACTCTCTTCATAGTGGCATATAACCGCTTCTTCTCCAACACTGATAACTCATGTTTCCGATGTTCAACATGATCCTCTATACTATTTGAATATATCAAAATATCATCGATTAACACAACCATTGACTCGCTCAAATAAGTATGGAAAATCCCATGTCAAACGGACACTCAATTCGTGAGTTATGGCGGAAACACGAACCACACTTTCTGCATTTACTACGAAATCTGAATATAGTCCATCAATAAATAACTTAATTCCATTCCACTACTTCACCATCACATAGAGAATTAAAATAGCTTTCCAATGCTTCGAACCGTGCACCATTCCGAGTTACGGTTCTCCCGCTATGACAAAACTACGAAAACAACATTCTTCTGCCCAGGACCTTTCGCTAGGCGAACGCTCGACGAACATGACAGTCCAAATTCTATTTTTGACCGTTGAATGACTTCCCTATCTCCTGTTGGGGGAGATGTGTTTATAGAGGCCTTGGACCTAGGGTTTCCTTGGAAATGATCACCTTTCACTTAGTCAATGGTGGACTATTGAATACCTATTTTCAAGGGGGTCGTGAATTAGTGATGTTCAGTAATCAAAAGTAAGTATTTTATTTATCGTATCCACATGGACTGGTACGATCTTATGTCGTTCAATAGTTAATATAGTTTTAGGTAGAGAATCGTCAAGTTGTTTAATTGTAAAAGATAATGGAATATAAAAACGATAATGGATAAAGTTTCAGAGTTATGGCAGCTGGCTGGGTTGGGTTTCATACACCAATTGCGTATGTAGTTTATTAATCAATTATATTTAACCTATTTATTCTTCAATATAATCACGCATCGCTCACAAACAGTGTTTATGTCTAAACTCCTAATGAGAGTTCGACTGTATTGTTTAATCGATGATTTCTCAGTCTATTAAACAATAAGGTAACATTAAGAATCAATGTCTAATGTGAATGTTTAATCCTAAATCCATGTCTAGAATTTAGGGTTTAAAATAGATGATTATCTTAGATCAAGATTCAAATTGTATTTCTTAATATCAATTTCAATCTATAAAGTTAATAGTAAAACAAAGATAACATCGATAATCATGAATAACTAGATTATATAAAGTTGTGATCAATAAACATGCATACGGTACGATAAACTGCATCAAATCCCAACAAGAAAGAAAAATTAGTTACTCATTGTCATGGTAGCTTGATTACAAAAGAGAAGAAATAAGACGAATGAGCATCAATGGTGATTTTCTCGATGGTTGATGTGTAACTAGCTTAATCTTCAAGTTTCACTCTTCCTTGGTTCTATCTCTCTTTGTTTCTGTCTAAAATTGTCTTCCTCTTTAAATATCCCGACTGATGCCTATTTATAGTGCCTGATTTCTACTGATATCGCTTAGCGAGATGTCTTTTCTTCAACCTGAAGTCTTCTCAAACCTCCTTGTTTCGCTTAGCGAGATTATGCTCGCTGAGCGAGCTTTCTCACTCCTTCCTCGTTGGGGGCATAATTGCTGTTTTTTTAATCTGCAAACTTTCTGCCAAGCTTCGCTAGAAGCTCGCTTAAGCGAGAGAGCTGGGTTCTGATTTGTGAAAACATTTTGTTTCTCCTCGCTGAATGCTCGTTTTAGCTAGCTTGACGAGGTTGTAAATGCTTATCTTCCTTGCTTTGTAGTTCAGTTAGGCCTATGCACAAAAACCTGCACATATACATGTAAATCAAGAGCAACAAACATAATCCTTCTGCTATTACATCCAGACTCAAATCTATTCACAAATTGAGAATTTGATGTTAGAAACTTACAAAACAAGTTAATAAGTGGCAAATTTTAACGTGATCAAATATTGTACTTTTGACACTTATCAGTTAGTTGTTGACTTTGACTTTTCTATGCTCTAGAATTGTCTTATCCCACTTTTGTTATGATTGAACATAAAGAAAACATTTGAGCAAGGTGATACCTCTCTATATGGTTAGGTCCTTTCTTGAGTGGCGGCTTATGGTCATTTCCTGTAGGTCTTTACAAACATAACTTTATGCAAGAGATGTTCTGTATATACCCATCTTCAAAAGATGGAAGAGATCAAATCTTATTCGCATAAAGGCATATACATAGTTTCTTACAGCCATACATGAGACAGTCCTAGAGCAGTTAATATTCGAAACACTACTAATCATACATGATAAAAAATTATTTTCGTTGTACTTTTTTATAAGTACACATGTCTCTTTTTTTCTATTGTAGGTTTACAAGGAGATTTAGGAAAATGTGCGTATATGGATAGAGCTAAACTCATTGTCAAATGAAGAAGGCGTAGCTCATTTTCTACCATTCAACCGTATTTTCAAAGGGAAGAATAAGAAGAAAGTAAGGAATAGTATGGCTTGGTCCATTTGGAATATATGGGGCATACGAGAAATCAAACCGAAACTGAGAATTGAATCGAAAATAAAAATGAAAAATATTCAAAATAAGTTTAAAATCTTTTATTGAAACTATGTTGTACATATATATTTTTTTAACAAATCAAATTTTAATCTGTTGTTATTATTATTACACAACATGCAGATGGTGGCATAAAACAAGAAATAATTCAACAAGTTCAACTATTCAACAACCATGTGTTAGTATTATTTTATTCTTTACACATGTAGTACCATCAAAGCAATTTCCAGTTTTATAATAAATTCCACACACAAGTTTCACTGCATCTTCTTACTCACTGTAATCATTGGTCCCACATTCTTCACAAATAACGTGGGCTTCAATTGATTCTATCCTACAAATCACATCAAATTTCCTATATAAACCACACACCTAATCTCTTTCTTAACCACAACACAACACAACATTTTCTCAAAAAAAATTCACCCTTTTCTCGCTCTCTACTCAACATCATATACAAAATATCTAAATGGATAACCTACCAAAATGTCAAGCAAATTATACTACACTCACTCCTTTAACTTTCTTGATGAGAGCTTCTGCTTCTTATGCAAACCGTCTCTCACTTATCCATGATGCAGCCCGGTTCACTTGGTCACAAACTTATGACCGGTGCCGCCGCCTCGCCTCTTCCCTTCGCGCTCTCAATATCGCTAAAAACGATGTTGTAAGTCTTTCAGAATAACTGATGTATCTGAGTTTTCAGAATAACTAATGTATCTGATTTATATAAAAATTATTAATAATTAATGAATCTGATCTATATAAAGATTAATACATTCTTTATTTAATAAAGTTTAAATGCGATTATTTATAAATATTCTTTGCTTAATGAAACAGGTATCAGTGTTGGCGCCTAACATTCCGGCAATGTATGAGATGCATTTTGCAGTACCTATGGCAGGAGCTGTGCTAAACGCAATCAACATCCGTCTCGACGCGAAGAACATAGCGACAATTCTGCGACACTCCGAAGCGAAAGTCTTCTTCGTCGACTACGAATTTGTATCCAAAGCAAAAGATGCTTTGAGATTACTCATGGAAGAAAAGGATCAACAAAACTACTCGTCACTTCCACTAGTAATCGTCATAGACGACATAAACACTCCGACCGGGATCAGACTAGGCGAGCTCGAATACGAACAGATGGTTCGTCGCGGTAATCCAAATTACATGCCAGAAGAAATCCAAGATGAATGGTCACCAATTGCATTGAATTACACATCAGGTACAACTTCAGAACCTAAAGGTGTTGTTTATAGTCACAGAGGTGCTTACCTTAGTACTCTGAGTTTAATCCTTGGATGGGAAATGGGTAGTGAGCCTGTTTATCTCTGGACATTACCTATGTTCCATTGTAATGGTTGGACTTTCACTTGGGGAATTGCTGCAAGAGGAGGAACTAATATATGTATCAGAAACACTGCAGCATGTGATATATATAGAGCCATAAATCTCTTTAGTGTGACACACATGTGTTGCGCGCCGATTATTTTCAATACTATTCTATCAGCAAAAGCGAGCGAAAAGAGGCCGATAAAAACTCCGGTTAATATACTAACCGGTGGAGCGCCTCCGCCCGCTTCGCTGCTTGAGAGAATGGAGCCGCTCGGTTTTCATGTGACACATGCTTATGGACTAACGGAGGCAACGGGACCAGCACTTGTTTGTGAGTGGCAGAAGAAATGGAATGAGTTACCGAAGACGGAGCAATCGATGCTGAAAGCGAGGCAGGGTGTGAGCATTCTAACACTAGCTGATGTTGATGTGAAGAATCTTGAAACAATGGAGAGTGTGGCAAGAGATGGGAAAACAATGGGGGAGATTGTTTTGAAAGGAAGTGGAATCATGATGGGGTATTTTAAAGACGGAGAAGCGACGGCGAAGGCGTTCGGAGACGGTTGGTTTAGAACCGGAGATGTTGGTGTTATACATGAAGACGGTTATTTGGAAATCAAAGACCGATCCAAAGATGTGATTATTTCCGGAGGTGAAAACATCAGCAGTGTAGAAGTTGAAAATGTTTTGTATAGTCATCCAAGTATTTTAGAAGCTGCTGTTGTTGCAATGCCACATCCAAAATGGGGTGAAAGTCCTTGTGCTTTTGTGTCACTTATGAAAAACAATGAAGATGAAAAAAGTGATTATTCTTGTGTCGCTGAGGATGAGATAATTGCTTATTGCAGAAAGAATTTACCACACTTTATGGTACCTAAGAAGGTTGTTTTTATGGAGGAATTACCAAAGACTGCAACTGGTAAGATTCAGAAATTTGAGTTAAGAGTCAAAGCTAAATGTTTTGTGGTAAATGATGATGAGAAGAATAAGAGCAAGAACAAGAACAAGAAGAATAATAATAATCAAGTCAATCAAAACAGTGACCAGATTATGGCTCTGTCTCGTCTTTAATTAATGAATACTGTGTTTACTGTGTTGTGTACATATTGAGTTTGGAACTATTTAATTTACATGTAATTAAATAGTTCACACTTGAACAACTTTGAGGCTTTTGTTTGTTTTTCTATGCATGCTTTGATCTGCCCCAACTTGTTATGTAGAAGAATGTAAGCATATATAATTAATAGTAATAACTTTTTTGTATCCTACTTTTCTTGTTGGTTGTTTCCTCTTAGTTGGTTCAACATTTCTAGTTATGTGCTCCAGATTATTATTATTATTATTTTTTATAAGTTGTACATTAACCTAAAGAAAAATATATTAAAAAGAAAAGTAGTATAAAAATGATGGAATATAAAGTTGAAATCTTAAACCTATCTGATCTTAAAGTTAGGCAATTCTAATAAGTTTCAGAGAAAATTTGGTTCCAGATGTATTATTATATAGAATACAAAGTAATTGATTAAGCATTTTTTAGGTTTAATATCATAGTCTAAAATCTTAACTCTGAGATTTATTTTAATTTTTTAGTTAAAAAAATTTATATTGATCATTTTATTTTTTAAAATATTTTATATTAATTATTTTTATTTTATTAGATAAAAAAATAATTAATTTTATTTTTATTTTTTATCTAATAAAATAAAAATAATTCATATAAAATATTTTAAGGAAAATACGTGAAAGAAAAATATTGCACCTACTTTTTAATTAGGTGGACAATTTTATTCAAGTCTTTTTCTATGAGCACTTGGGACCATGGAAATTCTCAGCTGGCTATCACCCTAAGCAATTATTCCAGGTGGTCCTTATTCAAAAATAAATAAAAACAAATATCATATTTCTGTGTTACAATTTACAGATGTAAGTGCTTAATGAAGAAATTAACTTTTTTATAGAAAAATATTGACGTGTGGGTGTTTCATATTTCCAACTTCCAAGTCCTTTTCTTATTTTTGCACCATTCACTACTATCAATTATGATTTTAACCTCAAGTACATTTTTTTATTGGCAAATGAGTCTATGAGTCGTTATTTGTTACAAGTATTTTTCATCAACTCCTTTGATGGGCATCATCCATCTTAATTAGGAGTGGTAATAGACTATGCCGAGTTAGATTTTGTCAAGTCTGAGTCTGATCTGTTAAAAAATTTAAAGTCTAAGTCTGACTTGTAACCTATCGTAAGCTTATTTTAGACTTAAGTCTGACTTTTTCGAAGGCCTGATTAGCCTATTAGCCTATTTTATTTGAACGTTTGTGATCTGACCTGATCAGAAAGGGATCACGGGCTGGCCACACGCTGTTGGACTGCTACCTGTTCACCGGTGATGAGGAGGAGAGGGGGGTGTACCTGCAAGACACTCCGATGCCAAAGTAAGAAATTGGGCAGAGTGAGAGCAAAGTACAGAAAGTGGGTAAGAAGTGAATTACCTGACCCTCTTGAGGGAGAGGGTATTTATAGAGAGACCCCAGCGCTGGGCCAACGGTCACTTGCGTTGGGCTGGACTGTCAGGCCCAACCCAGGTGACTGCTAGGGCTTACGTGGCGTAGTGAAGACCAGGACGTGGTCTTCGCCTTAGTCCAACTGCTCCTTGATCTCCGGAAAGTGGGTTTGACTTGTTCTTTCGGAGGTGGGCAGTTGGTTGATGACGTGTCCCCGCATAGGGGGGCACGTGGAGAACGTGCGCTAGGCACGTTGTCCTCCCCGCGGAGGGGAGCTCGCGAGGTTCCCCGGAGGGCGTTGTTCTCCCCGCGGAGGGGAGCCCGCAAGGATGCGGGAGAGCCACGCGGTCTTGCTCGATGGACCGGGGATGCTCTGTTCGACCGAAAGAAGGGGGCGTTGAGGGCGCTACAGGACGTTCCGTCTCGCTCGGCGGGGAGCGTGCCCTGCCCGTCCTATGGGGGTGTGTGCCCGGTCGGGCTAATCCACTTGACGGGCCTTGTGCGTTATTGGGCTGGACTGCGAGGCTGGGCCCAGACCAGAACAGTTTGTAAATAAGAAATTCAACTAATGTTAAATAGACTAACAAATTAAAAGATCATTGAGACTAAATATTTGTTTTCATTGTCTCATTCAAGTTTACCTATTAGCATAAGTTTGATGATATTATTTGTTAAAGAGAATTTATGGGGAAAAAAAACTTATAACAAGAACTTATGACATTGTTTATAATGTTTTTTCAACTTATTTTCATAAGTTGTTCAAAATAATAAAGCTTTATTTTCGTATTTTAATTCAAAGTACAATATACAATATAATAATAAAAAACATTTAAATTTTTTATAAATAGACCGGTCTAATAGACTTAAAATGTTTTTCTTACTACCTGTGACCTAGTCTCTTTAGCTAAATAGACTTATAAAAAAGTCTAGACCTTTTCTATTTAAAAAAAAGTTTGGTCTAACTTGGGCTTATGTAGGCTAAGTCGTAAGCCCCTATTAGTTGGTCTGGCCTATTCCCACCCTTAATTCTAATTCACCAAATTTATATTCCGCCCCCAAACTATATTTTCCAAGAAAAAGTATTATGTTAAATTTTCTCTATTTAAGTCATAAGAATCTCCTATTTGAATTTAAAAATATTTTAAAAGCAGTCTCAAATTCTTCTTCAGCGAAAGTGTTGACAAATTTAAACATTATTATAACATTATTATAGTAAGTATGATTCACATTTAATAAGAGTGATTACAGTCTCAAACTCTTTCTCTGACATCATATTTACATTTAACATTTTTTCTCTGACATCATATTTACATTTAACATTTTTTTAAGGTATATTTTCAAACGACTCGTGTTATACTGCTCTTGCACGTCTAATTCTATTTAGTGAATAACTTAGGAATCTATGCATCAAATTTCATATGAAGTGACCTTATTTCTACACTTACAAAAGCGAGTCTATCAAAAATACCCATATAGCTAGATACTTTACTCAAAATAAAGTGAAAATCTAATTAAGATTTTCTGTTACTCCAACCTTAATTTTTTTTGAAATAATGCTCAATAGAATGTTCATTTCATATCACTTCACAACTTGCAATAAGTGTGATACTATCGCGGTAGATCAAGACATATGATATTGGTTTTTCCCACATAGAAATCTTGGGTAGCAGGTATCTCAACCATCTTGCTTCTTCAGTAGTGATTACAAGAGGGAACATTTCTAATTATGTCGTGAATTGAGCGAGAATGATTTGTTTATTATAATTTTAAGAAACTGTCCGTCCAACTATGATGAAGATGTAGCACTAGTTTCTTTAGAATCATTTGATAATTTGTTCCACGTTTAGGGAGAAATGTACAACTAGAAGATTTGGTGTCATAATCATCATCATATTGTATCCTTCAAGTATAGCGAGAAACATTCAATAATATATGAGGTTCACGATCCTCTTAAGGTACCTCGTGACTCTCCCAATAGTGTTTCAATACTCTAAAATACGTCTAGTGGTAAACATGCACGACAACTCTATGACATAGAAAATAGGTCGAGTCTAGTATAATCAATGACATACCTAAGACTTTGAATGATGGTCGCCAATTCAGATTGTCTCTTATGCTAACATTATTGTTCTTGAAGAGATTATAAATTGGATCTTATGGATTGCAAGTAATTTTACAATCAAAATACTTACATTTCTTTAAGATATTTTCAACGTAGTGAGACTGATCCAAAGAAATTCTTTATCTGACCTAGTAATCTTAATATCAAAGACTAAATTTTTTTTTAGGTCTTTCATATCAAAGTTGTTACACAATAATGATTTCATGTTATTAACAATATGAATGTTTGAACCAATTAGGAGAAATTCGTCTGTGTAAAGAGACATGTGATAGTGCATATTTCATTTTCAGACTTATAGTAAATACATTTGTCACGTACATTGCCTTTAAACCCATTTGAGATAACCATATTGTCGAAATTTCCATGCCATTGTTTAGAAGTTTATTTTAGACAGTAAAAAGATTTATCTAACTTGTAGACCTTAAGAACATACTCCATGTACCCTCAATTATTCTAAATATTTTGTCTGTGTTGAATTTTACTAATGACAATCATAAGTTCTTTGAGTTTCACTCTAAGATTTGTTATATTAAATGTCAAATTTCTATTAAAAAAAATCTTCTTTAATGATTCCTTAACGAAAGTGGCTTCTACTGCTTTCCAAACCTGACTATGGAATCGTTAAGCTTAACTTGCAAGTTTTCTCTTTATGTACCTAATATTGTTCCTTTTCACAATACATGCTTAAAACACTTTGCTGAATTTTATAATATAGGCTCTAAATCTAGAAATGTTATCTCTATGTCAAATTCTAGGCTAGGTCATGCTAACTTCAATGTTTTCAATAAATGTAGACTTGATTTTTTGCAATTATTGTTGCCTAAGAAAGTCTCATAGACTATATGCACCTATTTTCTTCCACTATTTATGATTTTACCAGATCAGAAAAGGATCAGCAACCAGCAACACGTTAAGAACTCCTTAATTCGCTAGTGGTGGAGAATAGGAGGGGGTGTACCTGCAAGGTACTCTGATACCAAAGTAAGAGACGGAGTAGAAAGAACAAGTATAGAAAAGGTGTAGAAAAATAGAATACATGACCCTTTAGTGAAATAGGATATTTATATTGTGCCCCCAACGCGGGGCCAACAATTACTTTGCATTGGGTTGGATCACTATGCCTAATACGAATAACTGTCAGGGCTTACATGGTGTAGGGAAGACCAGCATGTGGTCTTCGCCCTGGGTCAAGTTCCCCGTGATCTTCGGAAGGTGGGTAGTTTCCTGATGACGTGTCCCCGCGTGAGGGGCACGTGGAGTCCATGGGGGAGACGTGTGAGTGTTCCTGTGTGATGTGATGAGTTGGGCCTTACTGGGCCTCTCCGACGAAGAAATGAGTTAGGTTGTGCCCGTCAGTGAGGCAGCCTCTGGCCCAGTCCAGAACAGAAGCCCCCCAAGTCGTTGCTCCAAAGCAGATGGGTAATGACTTAAGAGTCAATACTAGC